ATTTTATTTTCATTGATTTTTAATTCGATCTTTAATGAAGTTTGAGAATAGTTTGTTTGTAATTGATAGCGATGAATATGAAAATATTATGGCTATTAACTAAAACTGACTTATGTTTCAGGTCTAACATAAATACAAAATTCTACTTTCAAACATTCCACATATTTTCTGAATTGTTTCATTTGACTGAACCAGAGCGTGAGCGTTGTCTCCCGAGCTAACTTTATTACTGTCATTTTCATTTCATTGGCCTCGCACAATCAATTCCATCGCCGACCTAAAAAAAAAACCTGGAGGCCAATTCAATTTCCTCGTCCTCGACGGCAGCGGAGTAAATTATGAAAAACCTGTCGCCTTTCCCAGCGGAATTATCTCAAATTGTTTGCGACCGGGGGTATCGATTTCATTAAACGGTCCGGCTTGATCTGAACCACGACCAAACGACGACTTCCGTTGGAACAATGAAATTTCCAACCCTTCCGCGTGGGCCGTTTTCACCCCTTTAGACTTTTGACTTAGAGCTTCTCATGGGGCATTAATCTTGGCCCCTCTCGTTAGAGCCAAACAGATAAAAGCTACTGTTATCCTCCTCGGCAAACAAGGGTGAACGGAGAACCGCTTGGAAATATTTTCAAAGGCCTGTGTAACATTTTATGCCCATGTGTACAAAAAGTTATTATAAAATATTTAGTCTCCAAAGCTAGATCTCCACTCGTTGCAAAGACAAGTAGACAAGTTAGTATGTCAAATGTTCAGGTGGGGAGAAATAGCATCAAATAGTACATTTATTATATTAGTGTCAATGCAGTCAATCATTTGTACAAGCAAAAGTAAACGATACTGAAAGTTTTTAGTTGAGATAAAAAGTCAATGGCACGAGCAGGATTCGAACCCACGATCTTCGGCTTGATACGCCGCTGCTCTACCACTTGAGCTATCGTGACCTCGATCCACTCGGACATCAACTTCCCATCTCNCAACTAAACACCTTAATTACTTGTAATATATTAACTGGTCAGGTGGACCACGAAATTAGTGAAGATATTGAAAATGTTATACCAGCAAAAGTTCAAGATTGATTCAAGTTTGGTTCAGACGCGTTCGACTTCCCCCCCCCCCATCTTGAGTGCTTGTCCATCTACAAAACTCACGCAAACACTGAAGATGACGAAATGCCGAAGCGTGTCTGAACCACCAAGAAATAAACGAGGATAGGGTGACTAGGATGATAGGTAACTATTAAACAATAGGTTTATAACCCCGCAGACCACAAGAGTAAATCTCATGTTCAAGTTTCACAATATTTGCATTTCTACAACAATCTAATCGCTAGACGCGCTTTAACTATTCGCAATACAGGAAGTCATATGTTGGATCTAAGTAATTCCTGCAGTACAAATGTTTAACGAACAACTGACCGTTGGGTGGATTGGAAGAGAGATCAAACCTCTTTACAATTCACTAGTTTCGTGGTCCGCTTGACCAATTAATATCTTACAATTAATTAAGGTTTTCAATTGAGATAAAAAAGTCAATGGCACGAGCGGGATTCGAACCCACAATCTTCGGCTTGATACGCCGCTGCTCTACCACTTGAGCTATCGTGACCTCGATCCACTCGAACACCAACCTCCCATCTCAACCACACCTTTTGAATTTTCCCTCCTTTTTGCCATTTTTCAAATGTCGTGTAATCAATTTGATTCTCGGCGACAATTGAAATGGCCACGGAGAGCTTTAGTGAAGTATACTTCATTTTAAACTTATTAAATTCACTAGTTTCGTGGTCCGCTTGACCAATTAATATCTTACAATTAATTTTTAAGGTTTTCAGTTGAGATAAAATCTCTTTAAAATATTTTTTTCATACCACTCTCAATTAAAATCCCATGGGCTATGTCGGAATACGAACCCAGAAACGCAAGCATTGAAACCTCGACACCCTAAATATTCGACCATCGTGGTCCTAGAATTAAATACATTACCTAATCGGGACGATTGGTGTAATCTTTGCACAAATCCTTTGTAGTTAGAAAACCTTTGACATGTGAAACTACAAAAATTGACTTTTGACCAAAGAAACTGACTATTGGTGCCCTTCGATCAATCGATGTTATTTTATCAAAAACTAACGGATCTAAACTTAGACGAAAAATGTTAACTGGACATTATTTAGTTAACCTCTTGATTAAAACGTCACTGTTCTATCATATTAATGCGTAACTATCAAGGAAATGCTAAGACAACCTTTTAATAGAAGCTACTACCAAATTAACATTATTTTAATTTGAATGGACAGTGTTATACATAACCTATATTCCAGAGGTCCAAACTGGTCTTTAGAAAATATATATATAATCCAAAAATGCTGATATTTATGGTAGATGTCCATAAGGAAATTTTGTTATACTTATTTTAAACTCACTAATTTCGTGGTCCGCTTGACCAATTAATTAAGGTTTTTAGTTGAGATGAAAAAAGTTAATAGCACGAGCGGGATTCGAACCCACGATCTTCGGCTAGATACGCCGCTGCTCTACCACTTGAGCTATCGTGACCTCGATCCACTCGAACACCAACTTCCTATCTCAACCCCACCTTTTGAATGGCGAAAAGGATGGAAAATTCAAAAGGTGGGGTTGAGATGGGAAGTTGGTGTCCGAGTGGATCGAAGACACGATAGCTCAAGGGGTAGAGCAGCGGCGTATTTAGCTGAAGGTCCTGGGTTCGAATACCGCTCGTGGCACTGACTTTTTCATTTCAACCAAAACCTAACATAAAAAGATTATTTGAATATAGTGTTTAATTTGTTAATTACTTCAGTCTGTTTTTCGTACAACTTACTACAGTTTGCAACAACTCATCAATCCGAATGTTCCCTGTACGAAAAACCACAAGTCTACTACCCAATTAGGATCAAATTTTAGAAAAGCCCCTATTGAAAAGAATTTTTCTAAATTCTCAAAATATAATCAATTTGGATTTCGCAACCGCCTCTCTACTGTCCAATTGTGACACCGTGGTATATATTGCATCCTCTTCCCTTGAGATTGGGCAGTATTATTTGGGGGCCTTTCTTGTCGTAAGCCATGCTTCTGATCAGGTTTGGCACCCGGGCTCCTGTTCATGCTCAAGAGAATCATTCCCTCGACCTAATTTCACAGTTACTCACTGACCGGTTTATCCGAGCCACTGAAGGTGACTACATATTTCCCTATCCATAATGGTGTTCGGAGTACCCTTCTGGCCCCCGCACTATACCAGGTGTACACAGCTGAAATACCACCATACTCGCATTTGTAGACGATACAGCAATTCTCTCTAGTAACTCCGATCCTGTCATTTCCATCTAAACCTCGATCAATGCCTCAGACTATCAGAGTTTTGGAGTGAAAATAAAAGAATAAAATTTTACCCAGACAAACTCACCCACGTTTCTTTCACTCTCTGTAAAATGATCTCCCCTCCTGTCTACTTAAATAATATTCCCCTCCCAACTGCGGACAAGGTGCCGTACCTAGGACTGTACATCGGCAAACGCTTGACGTGGAATTCTCACCCGACTGAAAGGAGGATATGACACGATACGAAGCTCTTGCACGACGTCTTGACAAACGCTCTGACCTGCCTGTCAAAAATAAAAGGCCGCTTTATATCACCCTAGTTAAGCCGGGATGGACTTAAGGACTTGAAGTGCGATATTCACCCAAACCTTACAACATTCACCAACGCAAACTGCCCATTCCTTAATCTTCTGAAGAATCCTTGATGCTCTATTTTATGTAACTACATATACAGACCTAAATATTTTCACAACGAAATCCACTGCCGTTATCGAAAATTGCTCTATACCCTCCCAACCACCGTACATCAACATATCCAAAAACTCACATCCTGAAGAATTCCCTCGAACCCTCCTCCCCGACCGAATAGATGATGGCTGCGAGACTCCTACGTAGATAGTGCAAGTGATAATGACACAAACGTCATTTTTATGATGGTTTTATTAAAAGAAATATAGTAAAGTTCGATAAAAAATAATTGCTAAAAACTTAGCAAAAAAAGAACAAATCAATGAATTTTGTGAAATATGTCATCGATGTTTTTTTGAGTATTCATTATCCAAACCACAAATTATTTTCATATGCAAATATTATTTATATGTGCCACTTTAGAAACATAAGCTAATTTTTCAAACTTCGCCATTTCTGAACTTTTATTAGGAACTTGATTTTTTAAAAATATGTTTATTTTTTTAATAACATTTATTAGGAATTATTTTTGCCTTTGGTTTCATTTATAGTTGTATATAGATCTCTATGTACCTTTTAAATGAAGTTAAAGTATTTTGGGCCTGTGAATTTTATTCAAAATACCTTCCTGTTTTTCTTCGATACTTTTGAAAATATCCATAATCCACCCAAGCCCAATTCCTGTCGCTTGCTCAAAAAAGGTAAAGGTTTAACATGTACGTAACTAAAATCAACCATATTATTAATTTATTAGAATTAATGTATCCCAATTTTACAATGAAACACTACCACATCTTCTCCGGAACGAAATTAAAAAAAAAAAAGTAGCTTTAAAGCCAATTTATCCTCTACGCGATTTCTGGTTTTTCAAATAATCTGTCCAGCTTGGAAAATAATCATTCAGAGGAAAAAGATGTGCCACTAAGGCAACAAATCGAACAACTCCTGATAGAACACTTTCATATCCGAAGAATATGGGTCATTCCCTATTCACAAAAGTGGAAATTGGGAAAAACTGAAAAAGTTTATAAAACATCGACAGCCCACTATCGATGACCAAAAAACATAGACACAGTAACATCGATGTTGAAAACGTCGAACATCGGTCACCTACCATCGATGCTCATCCCTACATCTGACAAACAAAACCGGAAATCAAATCAACCAGGATGTATGGAAACGAACAAACTTCATCACTTCTTAAAACTTAAAACTTGAACTTAAAACGCCATTTATTTGTTTTAAATGGGAAGTAAAGGCAATTTAAACATTAAGTACATAGTAAACCCGGTCGCAGGAAATTTCTTTAAAAAAAGCGTAAAGATGTTAAAAACCGTTTCTACAACTAGGTACAAATTTCTCGACAATTTGATTGATTAAAAAAAGCATATGATTGATAAATGGCAACAAATCGGTTATGGGTTGTATGTTTGAGGCGGCCGACCGTTTAGTTGTCGGGCCGGCCACGAGGCCCGACCCTCGCCCGGCACCCTCCGCGGGTCGGCTTCAGTCGGGTAGAAACCGGGAACGCGGATCGACGGTCGTCGGCCCGTCGAAACTTCGCCGTATTTCGCGATCTCAACAATTCGTCATGAACAAGTGCCGTTGAACAAGAGGGAAAAAAATGGTCGACTACAACACTGTCATCGAAGGATCCGTGAAATTCCGCGACGGCAAAAAGGTGAGGACCAAAACTATAGGTCGTCCACTGTGCCAATATGATTTTTATGAGGAATTTAAAAAAAAAATTTTTACCCCTTTTCCAGTGGAAATCGAGATGGTGCGTCATGAGAAAACTCTCGCCAGTCGCAGGTAAATCCAAAATTTCAAAAGATACGGCATGTCCTTCGATTTGCATACCTGGAGGATTAGTTCATTACGCTGAGATTAAACACCTGACCAAATGAACATAAAACATGAAGATTATATATTCAATTTATCGAAACTATTTCTTTATTATTTGTTTAATATAAAGTTTCATAATTAATGCATGTGGTATAAAGCCAAGAGTCGTAAATTTAATAATTCTTTCATATTTATATATAAACTTTAATTGGGGCTCTTCTCTTGCGATGTAGAAGAAAAGAGAAGACAAAATATCATTTTTGAATAAGTATACCGCAAAAGGAACCGTCGAGTGGGTTTCTTTGCGTTGTATTAGTACCAAACCGCATTCGCCTCTTTGTTTTTCTTGTTTGTTAACGGAATACGGACGCGACCACACGGTTACGCAAATGCTGTACACTCACCGCCGCTTACACTCAAAAATAACGGTAAAAGTGGCCGTTCCGCTTTCTTCGGATGAACAGGGCGAAAATATAAAAACAAACCGATTGAATTAAACGTCCTCCGGAAACGCGAAAAGGCCCTGGGCCGTTTTGACCGCCCGTAACCTGTCCAGTCAATTTGCATACGGCCGTATTGTGATTTCACGAGGCAGTCAAGATGTTGGACGCAATCGATACGACCGGCAAGTACATACGCGAATTATATCCGGTTCGCCGAATTTCAACCGTTCTGTTCGAATTCTTTTCGCGATTTTTCTCATTTTCCGTTATAACCTGTGTAATCCTTTTACAAACCAGTTCAGCCGAGACCCGAATTTAAAAAAAAAAAAATGAAAATATTTTAAAGGGGTTGGAAAAGGAGAGTGAACATACCTTGTTGAGAAAGAATTTATCGAGTTACATCGCCACTTTTGGAAACCGGGTAACTGAGTTGGAGAGAAATAAGGGTTGTCACTTTATTACATTGATTCGCTAAAAGTTTTCCTCCGACTCTCTTTTCCATGATTTTTTGCGAATGACAGTTTTTCGATTTTTCTTCCAAATAGACTAATTTTAACTGAAAGAAATTTTTATATTTTCAATCTGGACGAGCGGTCGGTAGCTAGATCCTCTAGAACTCATAACTATTCGTAAATCGGTACTCATTGAATACTTTCAAGCAATATAATCTGATTAGTTTAGATATTCCGTTTGTGAATCATCCAGATAATAAATTCGAATCCGTGAAATAAATTTACAACTAAAACTCTCTTAAATAAAATAACACGGCTTAATGACTTATCTTAAAACCTAACGACCGTAGCCTAACATACATATTTATAAGATGAAAATAGTGTTAAAAGATAAAGGGTGGAAATGTTTTGACGTGAGTACTAAATTGGACGATCTTCCAGATAAAACGACCAAACTGCTCTTGATAACAATATTTTGTCGTTAAATATAACTTTATTCGTAAAACAATTATAACTAAAAATCTCTTAGTGTTAAATCCCCGAACCGAGAGATATTCGAACTAATGCTTAAAGAATTTGAATATTTTGGTCGTCCAATTGAACAATGAACTGTCTATGCACTTACCTGATGCCGATCTTGGAACATGCATATTTTTGACATTTATAGTCCATTTTCCGTTTAAAGTTGCATTACTAACACTGTCTACTGATGCGACAAGCCGAAACGCTTCTAAGGAGAAACTTATATTTGCTTAACAAATAAAAAATAAAGTTGCGATTTTTTATTATAAAGTAAAAAGCGCAAAATTCGTGTACTAAATATTATTTATTTAGTATAAGTAAGTAGTATTCTAGTAGATCGAAGTCAGGATAGCTCAGGTGGTAGAGTAGCGGCGTATCTAGCAGAACGACGTGCGTTCGAATCCCGCTCGTGACACTGACTTTTTTATCTCAACTAAAAACCTTAATTAATTAAAAGATATTACTTGGTCAAGCGGACCACGAAACTAGTAAATTTAATAAGTCTAAATGAAGTATACCTTCACTGAAACTCTCCGTGGCCATTTCATTTGCCGCCGAGAATCAAATAGATTACACATTTGAAAAATGGCAAAAAAGAGGGAAAATTCAAAAGGTGGGGTTGAGGTAGGAAGTTAGTGTCCGAGTGGATCGATCTCACGATAGCTCAAGGGGTAGAGCAGCGGCGTATCTAGCCGAAGGTCGTGGGTTCGAATCCCGCTCGTGACACTGACTTTCTTATCTCAAGTCTCAACTAAAAAACTTAATTAATTGAAAGATATTAATTGTTCAAGTGGACCACGAAAACTAGTGAATTATTTATTTATATAAGTTAAAATCTGGACAGGAATATATACGTGAATGTACAGTTTAGCCTATGACTTCCCGCGGTACATCGGAAATTCCAGCTTTCCTACAATCAGGCCTCGAGAGTCATTCCTGGTATTGGCAGCCCAGAGTCATACCTCAGTTTTACCCTTCCAGCCACCGTGGTTGGGCTCCGGCTGATGTCATTTCAGCCCTAACGCAATCAGTTTCTAAACCAAACCTATTCACACACTCATCTTAAATACAATCTTATATACAATGCTCTCAGGGCCTTAGCCTGATGCGAGGCGAAAGCAAAGAGTGTTTGGAAATGCACGGAGGCCCTGAAAGCCAGCGACACCCTGGCTTGGGTCCCTGGACATTCGGGGCATAGAGGCAACGAAAAAATTGACATGTTGGCCAAAAAAGGGAGCCATGAATGAAAAAGTTGGGGTGTCGATGGCCGCAACGGTTTGGGCGTTGATACGCGCTCATCACTGTAAGATAATGGTCCCGGGTTCGAATCCAGCGGCCCTGCATTCGAACCGGGACCTTTACCTTACAGTGATGAGCGCCGTGTCAGCGCCTAAACCGACGCCCCAACTTTTTCATTTCAACCAATACCTTACATAAAGATTAATTAATTGAAAGTAGTTATTTGGTCAATCGGACTACGAAATATATTGGAATTTTTAAATAATAAAGTTGAAAAGAGAGATACGCCAGCAATTTTATTTTCCTACTCATTCGTACCTATATGACAAGCATATTGACAGTATTGTATAAATTTAAACATAATTTTGCTACTTAGCTATTCAAAAATCTCACAAAAATTTACTTTATCTCATTCTACGAAAACATAATTTTTCGATATTAGGCTTACGACCTAAAATTTTCTTTCTATTAATTGCATAAAAATTTACAATTTCATTTCTATGTTGAACATTCTGTACTTTGTAATCCAGCTCACTATTATTAATTAATTATTCGGAAATCGTGAGATGCGCTCTGGTGTGATGTAGGTTTCAGAAAAACATTTTCTTTATCGTGCCAACGTTTCGATTTTTATTGAGATCATCTTCAGGGCTCAAAGTGTTTGTTTTCTGAGCAATTGTGTCATTCTTGCGTTTCGGGCACTCTCAACCGACACGCAAGAATGGCACAATTACGCAGAAAACAAACACTTTGAGCGCTGAAGATGATCTCATTTAAGATCGAAACGTTGGCACGATAAAGAAAATGTTTTTCTGAAACCTGATCACACCAAACCGCATCTCACGATTTCCGAATAATCATCGACATACGGTCACTAATCACCACACATTATTAATTAAATTATTGTTGCTAGTTAAAATGTAAATAACTTTAATTTTGACTCATCTGCGAACAATAAATATAGATTTCAATTAAAATCTTTAGTAAATCTCCAGACTCCGACATACCTATAAATGTTTTTTTTTTTTTTTTTCAAAAACACCGGCACCCCGGGGGTTGATATAACCAATGATGTAGCGAATCCTCGTTAAAAATATTATTATTATTTTTTTTTAATGAAAAAGTTAGTTTCAGTAGCGGGATTTAAAGTTATGTACATTATAGAAATATAAAATATACGAAAGGACAGTACACTCTAAAAGCACTTAGAGAAAATGATTATTTCTGAAAATAACTCTATTTTTGCATTCCGTTTAATTATCTAAATGCAAAGGCGTCTTTCTACAACCAATCCAAAGTCCATGGAGATGTCCGTGTTTGTAGAGAATTAAAGTACCACCACGCAGAAAAAAGAAACAAATCGACTACCATCTTCTGCGTTAGAGCAGATAAGCGGATTTTTCATGTTGTGCTCCACGTAGAAAAGGCTTGAACCATTAGACATTAGTGCCGCTCCAGATGAGTTATGGTACGAGTTGTGCCGGGTTTTTAGAAGTTGGCCAGTGTTGTGGATAAATCACCGGGCACGATTTTATTAATGGGACTCCCGTACGGGGCAAATTATGCACCGAACGGACAAATACAAAGTAAATAAGGTGAATGTTATTCGACTCGTGATAATATCAATTCGGTCGAATGGGAATTTTAATTTAATCCGAGTAACCGCTTTCATGGTTACTAATGATACGTAGGACCGACTCGGTCCGGATTTACTGGATTAAACCAGGGGAAACAAAGCGTAGGCCCCCCAATCGCATCGCAGGAATACGAGGCTGTTTATAAACTTTATCATAAAAACCGTCTAAAAGTAGTAAATATATAAATAATTGTTCGGCATGTTGGAAAGCCCTTCTATTAATTGGATTTTTCGACAAATAAATCGTAGAATTCCTAGTTATTTTGATTTGCCAAAACACAAGTCCGGGCGAAGCTGATTTTGGAATCTACGTGGTTAATCTACGGAGGCCATAGAGAAATTTTACCTCATCTAGGTTTTATGGTCCTGTGTCGGAGTCTATTAAATGGATCTAAAACAGAATATTGACAAAATAAATAAATTACAATTAATTAAGATTTTTAGTTGAAATAAAAAAGTCAATGGCACGAGCGGGATTCGAACCCACGATCTTCGGCTTGATACGCCGCTGCTCTACCACTTGAGCTATCGTGAGATCGATCCACTCGGACACTAACTTCCTATCTCAACCCCACCTTGTTAATTGAAAAATGGCAAAAAGGAGGGAAAATTCAGAAGGTGGGAAGGTAGTGTCCGAGTGGATCGATCTCACGATAGCTCAAGTGGTAGAGCAGCGGCGTATCTAGCCGAAGATCGTGGGTTCGAATCCCGCCCGTGCCATTAACTTTTTTTCATGACAACTAAAAACCTTAATTAATTGTAATATATTAATTGGTCAAGCGGACCACGAAATTAGTGAATAAAATAA